TAGTAACATAAATGATTCTCAGGCATTAAGAGAGATTTTCACATGATTTCCCACATGATTTCGTGAATTTTATTTAGTTTTTTTTATGTGTAATTCCTATAGTCAACTTTCATTTATATACGTGTGATCGCGTATGTCGTATCGACCATGTATTACACTTATTAAAGCTGTTTTACGAATAAACAATTTAATTATCTTTTGACAGTAAAATAGCTCAAAATTCAATTCGTAATACTTGTACGTAATTTATATAAAATATTTTATCGTGCGCTTTCGCCGCAACAATGAGGAACTTCACAAGAAACTGTTTCACGGGAAATAACTAAATTTTGTTTAAATCTAGAGACAGGCTCATCTTTTTGAAGACCAGCTAATCAGTTTAAATTGTAATCAGGAAGTATATAAATATTTTTTGTTTTTCAAAGTGCTATTATCTTTAGATACAATTATTGCTTTTGATATTTTTTGTGACAGCTGCCATATCAGTGCACATTTAAACAATTGGCAAGCATTATTGATTGTATTATTGAAGAGAGAAGAAAATAAAATATTTTCTTTATATTTGTTTCATTTGAGGAAAGAGAACAATGCTTGTCAAGGATAGAAAACATATTTGCGCTATTTATGGAGAAGGTACTGTGATGTTTTGAACGTGTCAAAAGTGGTTTGCCAATAATGCAGTTTTCGGGAAGAACGTTGCTTCATAACTACATAGAGCAAAATAATCAACTTTACATGACACGACAAATAGCCAACACACTCAAAATAACCAAATCAAGCTTCTGAAATCCTTTGCACGAAGTTAGGCACTTTAATATTGATTCTGGCTTCCCATATATCTTAGAATCATAAATCACTTTTTTTTTCACATATTTCTCCTTTTCCATTATTAAGTTTGTTTTTATTTAAAGTTTACAATTCTTTCGTTTCGCTTTATCCTTCCACCTAAAGCCAGGGGATAATGCCACTTAGACGCAAGGGAGCGACTGGGAGCAAAAGAGAATGAGAAGACTTTAGTGAGAAGAAAGTACAATAAAAGAAAGTTGTTTCAGGAAGACAAAAGATGGCGATTGACGTTGCATTTAAATTTTTGAAAATCGTAGCTCACAGGGAAACAAGAAACCAGAAGAGAGTTCCACGGGTGAGAAGTGCGAGAAATTTAGCTAGCTAGTTCAACAGTAAAACGGTGAGATCTAATTACCAATCTAGTATTACGCTTAACTCCATGCAGTCAGGCTACCAAGGAAAAGAACTCATTAGAGCAAGTGGCATGAAAATATTCATAGAAAAGACAAAGGGAAGCCACGAACGGCGTTGCAAAGGAGGGTGGTGTCAAGAAATCGAGATATATTGCATGTGCACTAGATCGCATATGGCGACAATATACAATGCATGGGTGAATAGTTGATTTATAAATGCGCAAAATGGATTCTGACGAAAAAGAATGTCTAGCGCGACACAGTGAATCAACTTTCTAGTGTCAGACCGAGAAGTTACTACAATATAATCACTCCACTTAATGTCAGTGGAAAATATGAGACCAACAAGGCGCAACGGGTTTGCTCTTCTGGTGGTTAGCATCAGCCATACTGATAGAAAGCAAAACAGATTCTCTATGGTGATTAAAATATAACAGTTTCGTTTTGAAGTGTTAAAGTTTACATACCATTTGTTGCCCCAGTTAACAACTGATCGGAGGCCATTTTAGTGAACAGCTGTGTTTCGGATTTACTATTAAGACAGGGGAAAATAGATTTATCAGCATAAATACTGTTGTGGATTCCGGAGTGAAATCCGGTCTCAAATGAATGACAAACGCAGGAATGAAATATAGCAAATAAATGTATTGACGTAATAATACAATTGGTAATACGGTTAGTAGATCCAGAAATGCGGTTAGTAGCAATAATAATATATATACAGTCTGGGAAATTCAGTATCGAAGTATGACTTCCTTCTGAGTCTACGTGCTCGCAACTGTGACTCCTACAAAGCGGTTACCTCACACTCTCACTATCTCACCCTGTATCACTGTATCACTCTCTGACTCCCTGGGTATTCACCGGCAGCAGTACAAGTACACACTGGGCGAGTCCACTTGTATGAAAAAGGGGTGGACTCCTTAACAAATACCGAGTTGGTATCTGATGTCATCGGGATTGTCGTTGGTGAAGAGAAGAAACAGCGTAGGTCCACGGAGAGTGCCCTGGGGACCGCCGTATTAATGCGCAATGAGCAGGAGAGAAAGGGTAGAATATGCCTTCTTTTGAGTCTATACATAAACATGTCAAAGGTCATGAGGTAGATGCGTAGTATTGTGTAGGACTCACCCAAGCATGCTAAAATGCAGTCAGTTTATTTGGTAATCAATGTCGAAAACAAAAATAACGAGAGGAAAAGGTGCAATAAAACGGAGAATAAAAAAAAGAACATGGCGAAGGAAATTAAAGAAAGAAAGAAAGAAAGAAAGAAAACATGAACTATAAATGAGTCTTGAGAATTTGAATCAATAATATGAAGAAAATAATAAAAAAAAAAAATTAATTACAGAGATGAATGAATAAGCCGAAGGAAAAATAAATAAATGAGTAATAAAAAAATTTAAGAAAAGAAATCAAAGTGAAATGAATGAATAAAGCGAAGGTAATTAAAAAACACGGAGGGAATTAATCGAAGTATATATGAATGAATAAGGCAAAAAAAAAAAAATTAGAAACAGATGAAAGGCACAGAAATGTATGAATAAGTCGAAGTAAATCACGCAGAAATATATGAATAATACGAAAGTACTTTTTAAAAAAGAAGAAATGGCACAGAAATGTATAAGTCGGAACAAATGACACATAAATATATGATAAGGCGAAAAAATTAAAAAAGAAGAGATGACACAGAAATGTATAAGACGGAACAAATGACACAAATATATGATAAGGCGAAAAAGAATTAAAAAAAGAAATGGCAAAGAAATGTATGAATAAGACGGAAGAAATGAAACATAAATATATGATACGACTAAAAAAATTAAAAAGGGGCAATGACAAATTTACAAATAAGGCCAAAGAAATGACTCAGAAATGTACGGAAGAAATAAAATAATGAAAAACTTGATTATAAATTGCAAAATACCCCATGAAATTTTCTTCCCACAAATCCAACAGTGTACTTGTCTTCATGCGCTTAAAGTATTTGTAATGGTTCACTAGTTATTGTACTGTTTTCGCACGCCTTACAAATGAGGACAAATATGGTTTTAAAATCAATGCGAGGCGAAATCTTATAAAGATTTATCTCCCTATACGTTCACTCTTATTTATTTGCTTAAATGATACATGATATGAAAGTGTCAGTGTTTTGACCCACCGATAAATTTATGTTGTAATTTATGCCGCCAAGGCATTACAAAATGGCCGACTAGAAGCAACAGAGCGAAACAGTTGAAAAATAATAGTTTTCACAAGCCAAATTTATATCGGCTAAAATGTTTGAAAATTTATGATCAAGAATTCTTTATAGAATTTTCAAGTTTATAAAAATTTGTAAACAGATGAAAATATTTTAGAAAAGGAAACAATATGGTGTCTTTGTACAATTAAAATATATAAATTCCTTCGTCATTTTCGATTTTATGTTGCAGGTGGAAATTCTAAGATTGGTTTCTGTAGTTAGGGTGTGTCTAGGAGATGTGGTTTGTCATGATAGGCAAAGTTTAGAGCTTCTATAAACGTAAAACGTTAGAAGAGATATAAAGAGAAATAAAGAGAAGAGAGAAAGCGATAAGAAAGATGAATAAAATGATGGATAAAAGAAAGAAAGAAAGAGGGACAGATAGAATGGGCTTGTGATAGTGATTGGAGGATATTTCATACTTTTGATTATACAACTTAATGAATCATGACCAACAGAAAATATCCGTTTGAATATTTGAAAAAGGTAGAATTATCATTATTAGGCATTTATTTATTTATTAACCTACCAGCTATTAGGCCAAAATGGAAACAAATGGAAGGTAAAAGATATTTGTAGCAACGTCAGCAAAATAAAAAACAAACAAACAAAAAACAAGAATAACCTAAACACGGAATCAGAAAAGTGTTTATGATAGTTGAAGAGGCACATTGTACAGTTACGCTTTGCCAATATAGTCCAAATATATTTTGATCTCCTTTTTGAAGACGTCTAAAATCTTGGCATTGACTATCAAAAAAAAAATGAGCGATTGATCTTTGTGAAAATAATATTTTCGAATGTTTAGACGATAGAGCAGCGGTTGATAGTTTTTCTCATTAATGTCTGCAGACGACAATTCCCTTCTCGTTTGTTACAGTCACAATTAAACTGGTAGCCTCGATTTTGAGGAATGTTTCTTTGTTATTTGATTTAGTAATTTCGAATAGAACTGTTTCTTAAGTTCACAAGAGCCGGTTTCGTTCTCCAAGTGGAAGAATGCCTTGAATTCGTCCATTCTTTCTGGCTATTTCGTATTAATTAATCCGTTCTTATAATTTCCCTTTTTCGTTATCAACTGTATACGTTTATTGCATGACCCAAGGACTGGATAGGTACCAACTTAATTGATTAGCGCTTCATCCAGGAGGGTAGTCAGTTTGTAGATGTAAAGTTAAGGTCTGTTCTTACTTAGATGAATCTTTGTCACAAAATACAAGTCTTTTTTGTTGTTTGTATTCAAATTAATTAAAAAGATATTAATTACTTTATATTTTTGACCACTTCAATTTTCAATTTCTGTGTTTTTTGGTTAATCCTGTTTTTTGTATCTCTATATGCTCATGTTGTTTCTTTTCGTAATAGTCTGCGTACTGTATCAAGGGAAACCTCACTGTTAAAACTGCATTCAACCCTCACTTGGTTGACTGTTAGTTTTGGTTAACATATTGGGATTCTTGCACACAATTTTTATTTTTCTAAAATCACCGTGGGGGAAAAGGGAAATGGTAAAATGAAAAGTTAAAAGAAGATAATGATGAGAAAACGATATAAAGTCAAATAAAAAGAAAAAAAGAGGAAAGAGAAAAGGGAATGAAAGAAAGAAAATGGAAACTGAAGAAACAAGCAAAAAGAATAAAAAGAAGGAAAGAGAAAAAGCAAAAAAAAAAAGAAGAGAAAAGAATGAAAAAGAAAGAAGATGAAAGATACGAAGCAAGTAAAAACGCGGAAGAGAACGAAAGAGAAGTGAAAAAAATGAATACAAGAAAAAAATTAAGAAAAAAAGGGAAAACATGAAAGAGAAGAAGAAACAAAAGAAGTAAAAGGGATGGAAGAGAAGAAGAAACAAAAGAAGTAAAAGGGATGGAAGAGAAGAAGAAACAAAAGAAGTAAAAGGGATGGAAGAGAAGAGGAAAGAAAAAAGGAAAAAGGATGGAAGAGAAGAAGAAAAGAAAAAAAGTTAATGGATAGAATAGAAAAAAGTTTTTTTCTACTTTTTACCAATAGGATCCTCACAAGATTCTTCGTATCCTTATTAAAGGAAGAGATAAAATTATCATGTTGATGCATATTCATTTATACTGAGTACTTTCGACATTAGCACAATGTCATCATCAGGGTGTTGCTTTTTCATCAAAACATTTTTGCATCAAACATATCACACCATTTACGACATCATGCCTGTCCACATTCGCAATTTAGGAAAATTCTCGCTAAAAATACATCTATACTTTTTCATGTCACGTGTGGCGTCAGTATGTATGTGTTTAAATTCTGATGGACGTATTCTACGTCTTTTAATGTCTGTGTGTGCGGGTGTCTAATTTTACTATATACATATATATATACTACCTGTTCGTTTCTTCTCGTGGCCATTTCAGGTATTATGAATGTCATGAACATGTGTCATCTAACCGCCCAGTGAAAGTCACCGGATGAAGACGGTAGGCAGTGGAAAACTAATCACAACAGGATAGCAAACTTGAAATAAAATACGCTATAGGAAAATTAAGGTCGTTACTTTATGGTAAGCACACATTAAATCAGTTTAGAAATGCTCAAGAATTGAGGAATAGAAGATTAAAAAAATGGTTGCGACTGTTTAAACCAGCGGTCGGCAACTTTTTACTATGTGCCGACTTAAGGTTTTAAAATCATTCAGTATGTCAACAAGCATATGTATTTTTATACAAGTCAAGGTCAATATACCTGTTCTACAATATATTTTATATAGTATTATATAGTGTATATACTTTAGTATATATTAAAACTGAAACAGCTAAATATCTTCTTTGCGTTGTAGTAGTTATTGGGTTGGACTTCGTGATGTCATTTGCGGCTACGTGCCATTGGAAATTGTTTGATATGCCACAGGTTGCCGATCCTTGAATTAAATGATTTGTATCAGCAAAATTAAATCCACAAAATATATGGAGATGCATTGTATTTCATATTACAGAGTAGACATAATATAGAGCAGGGGTGGACAACCTTTTGCTATGTGCAAACATAGGGTTTTAAAAACATTCAGTAATCGTATTTTTATACAAGTCAAGGTCAATATACCTGTTCTACAACATATTTTATATAGTAATACATACAATAATATGTAAACCACATTAATAAAAAGAAACTGTTTTTAAAAGTTTTTTTTTTAATTTTTTATTATTAATGGGAGACCAACGAGTGAGCAGTTTTGAAACAACTGAATATCTTCTTTGCCTCGTAGTAAGATGGTGATTGACGTTGCATTAAAATATTTAAAGATTGTAGTTGGCAGGGAAGCAAGAAATCTGAAGGGAGAAAATGCGAGAAGAGAAACTCTTAGAACAGAACTGTCTATCGGCAGTTCAACAATAAAACAATGGGACCTTGCGCTGTCTAGTAGCAAGCTTAAATTATTGCAGTCTAGGTCAGGGTTCGGCAACCTTTTGCTAACTGTGTACAGACTTAAGCTTTTAAAATCATTCAGTGTGCCAACAGCATATGTATTTTTATACAAGCCAAGGTCAATATATCTGTTCTCCAATACACTGCGTGCCAAATTATTATCAAGATAACTTTTTTCTAATATTTCAAAAACCGTCCAATAAATTCACACAAAATTTTCACACAATGTTGGCAACATTGACCTGCGAGATTACTGAAATTTTCGTACTGATCTGCGCAATGTAAACAAACTGGCGCCATATTTGTTATCAGCACGGAGCGTGCCAAATTATTAGATAGGTTTAGTAAAATTCCCAGAATTGAGCAAACAAAACGTTTATTAATGTTGCACGTGAATGTTTATGATCAAAAGAAGCTAATAAATAAGATAATCAAACAAATAATAACAGATACAAAGAAAGGCTCAGTTTTAAACAAATTAATAGGGAATATGTTTTCCCTGTTTTGAAATTACTTGAAAAAGTCGACGATCCATAGAATTTGTTAATTGTAGGATGTCATCTGCTGTAATGCCGCGAGATATGTCAAGAATTGCTTCCCACAACTCAGCGTCGCACCTGAATTGTCGTCCGTTGGCGTGTAGTCTTCACTTCATGATGCTCCAAAGGTTTTCGATTGGGTTCAAATCCGGAGAATTTGCTGGCCACTTCATTTTTCGAGGTCCATCGAAGCCTAAGTATTTCAAATATTCAGTAGTTTTGTGAGCAGCATGTGAGGGAGTATTATCTTGCATAAAAACAATGGCCCTTCTGAAGGAAACTCTTTGCCTTTTCATCCACGATTCAAGATGCTCCTTCATAAACGCTATGTATGCATCAGCAGTCATTTTGACGCCATCTGGTACTCTCCATGGGACCACTAATGTTTTTCCAATAATACCACCCCCAGATCATTATGCCTCCACCGCCTTGTTGGTGTCTCAAGCGCTGATGGCAATTCTGTCCGTTCATTACCCAGACTTTGCACCATCTATCTGGCCCATCAAGTGTTGCTCGAGTTTCGTCTGTGAACAAAACTTTAGAGAAGTCAATCTTCATATTGTCCTCAGCCCATTTCAATCGATTTTGAATGTGATTTCTCATCAAAGAAGACTTCGATACAGGTTTGATTGTTATTGCTATTTCCCTCAGATACCGACACCGAGTATTTTTAGACACAGTAGTATCCCCAATGCGTTTGAAAAGCTCTTGACCGGTAAGTCCAGGGTTCTTCGTGGCCTCTCGTTTAAGTCGTGACATGAGACGACGTGAAATAACCCACGGCTTGCCTTTATCTACCCATTTGCGTACTTGTGTAGGGTCGGCGGTGAACTTTTTCCCTGTTTGATGACACCTCCCTATCATTTTAGAAATTTCTAGGGTAGATTTACCTTTTGAGAGTTCTGAGGTGATAGTTTTCTTTTCAGCATCACTTAAACTGCTTTTACGGCCCATCTTTTCACTAAATTCTTACACTTCTCTAAAAATTTGGCACGCTGAAATCACCGTGCTGACAACAAATATGGCGCCAGTTTGTTTACATTGCGCAGATCAGTAAGAAAATTTCAGTGATTGCGCAGGTCAGTGTTGCCAACATTGTGTGAAAATTTTGTGTGAATCGATAGGAAAAAAGTTATCTCGATAATAATTTGGCAGTGTATATTTTATATAGTAATATGTAGTATATATGCTTTAGTAGATATTAAAATTGAAACAGCTAAATATCTTTGCGTTGTAGTTATTTGTTCGAACTTCGTCATGTCGTTTGCGGCTGCGTGCCATTGGAAATTGCTTGGCGCGCCACGTGCAGCACGCGTGCCGTAGGTCGCCTACTCCTGGTTTAGACGACGAAGCCTGTAAAGATCCTAGGAAATATGGCAGGGATTTGATAGGACTGTCAATCGCTCTACACAATTGAGTTCAAATCCGAAAGGCAGGAAAAGAGATAGAAAAGAAGAAAGAAAAGGAGGAAAAGGGATGGAAGAGAAGAAGAAAGAAAAGGAGGAAAAGGGAGGGAAGAGAAGAAGTAAGAAATCAGTAGGTATTGAATATGACCTGTAAATAGATGAAATAATACTGCCACTACTACACATGGAATACTACTACAACACCTACAACTACTACTACTAAGAAAGAACCAGAAGAAAGAAAAAAAGTTGGAGAGGAGGAAGGAAAATCATAAACACGAGTATCGTTAAAAAAAAGTAATACAAATTCAAGTTTTATTTTAAAGGAAATAGAATTTGTAACAGATTTTAGTTAACAAAAACAAAAAGAAAAACAAAAGGAAAACTTCGAGAGTTACTTTCTCTTTTCATCTCTCCACTCTTTCCTTTTATGTGCCGTGTCCCTTCAGGCCGTGGACGATCATGGCCCTCCACTTCACCTTACCCCTTGTAGCCCTCAATAAGTTTTGTCCCTTTGCTATTTCCCCCAAGCCATGTTCTGTCACCCACTTGCTTAAGCCCGCCTTGCTTTCCCTTGTCTCTTTCCCTCTATTCGACCTGTGAGTACCATGTTATCCAAGCTGCCTTTTCTTATTATGTGTCCCAGAAATTTTAGCTTCCTCTTCCTGATGTTAAATATAATATTCCTTCTCGTTTGCATCCTCTCCAAAACCTCATCGTTGCTCATATGCTTAGTCCATGATATCCTTAGCATCCTTCTGTAGAACCATACCTCCGTTGCCTCGAGTCTCTTCTTCATCTTTGAGGAGACCGTCCAACATTCGCTGCCGTAAAGGAGGACAGATGACACGTAGCAGCTCAGTACTCTTTTTTTATGTTACCAAAGAGATCCTCCTTTCTCGTAATACTCTGCCTAGCTTTTTCGAAACGACTGCCTCGCTGGTCACATGAACAATTCAAAGATCTGTCGTAGAATTCGTTTTTTTTTTTCTCAAGACTGTTAATGAATGTTTATGGAAAGGTTGCACTTGATGTAAGCACAGTAAGTAAAATGAATCAGTTGAGTTAAAGTCACTCTTATAGAAAAAGGAAAATAAATGGACGTGATAGGTCACAAAGAGGTAAGCCAGCTGCTCGAGTGAATTTTCATTCCGAATATGATAGATTCAATGATGAATCAAAAACAAAGCTCAGAAAAGAAATAATTTTCCACGATGAACTCATTTAAAGAAGGAATAGTAGGATTGAGAAGGAGGCAGAAATTGTTGAGACATTTTGGTTTATTTCTATACTTATTAATGATGGAATCGATGGAGAACAAGCATCATGTTTGAGCAATCATGGTGGGAGAAAAAGGGATCATGGGAAATGGTAAAATGAAAAGTTAAAAGAAGATAATGAAGAGAAAATGATATAAAGTCAAATAAAAAGCAAAAAGAGAAAAGAGAAAAGGGAATGAAAGAAAGAAAATGGAAACTGAAGAAACAAGCAAAAAGAATAAAAAGGGGGAAAGAGAAGAAGAAAAAAAAGAAGAGAAAAGAATGAAAAAGAAAGAAGATGAAAGATACGAAGCAAGTAGAAACACGGAATGGACGAAAGAGAAAAAAATGAAAAAAAAAAGAAAACATGAAAGAGAAGAAGAAAGAAAAGAAGTAAAAGGGATGGAAAAGAAGAAGAAAGAAAAGGAGGAAAAGGGATGGAAGAGAAGAAGAAGAAAAAAAAGAGGAAATTATAATAAGGAAGAAAATATGGAAAAGGGATCGAAGAAAGGAAAAAAGGAATCGAAGAGGAGACAGAAACGAAGCAAAAGAGATCGAAGAGAAGATAATAGAAAAGAAGTAGATTAATGTAAGGCAAGAAGAAAGAAAAGAATGGAAAGGAATGAAAGAGAATAAGAAAGAAAAGAAGGAAAAGGGATCGAAAGAGAAGAAAAAAGCAAAGAATGGAAAGGTACCGAAGAAATAAGAAAGAAAGGCAGGAAAAGAGATAGAAAAGAAGAAAGAATAGAAGGAAAAGTGAGGGAAGAGAAAAAGAAAGAAAAGGAGGAAAAGTGAGGGAAGAGAAAAAGAAAGAAAAGGAGGAAAAGGGATGGAAGAGAAGAAGAAAGAAAAGGAGGAAAACGGAGGGAAGAGAAGAAGAAAGAAAAGGAGGAAAAGGGAGGGAAGGGAAGAAGAAAGAAAAGGAAGAAAAGAAAGGAGGAAAAGGAAGAGGGAAGAAGAAAGAAAAGGAGGAAAACGGAGGAGAAGAAGAAAGAAAAGCAGAAAGGGAAGAGAAGGAAAGAAAAGGAGGGAAAGAGAAAGAAAAAAAAAAGGAGCAAAGGAGAATAAGAAAAAGGGGAAATGGATCGAAGAGAATAAGAAAGAAAAGCAAGAAAAAAGGTGGAAGAGAAAAAGAAAGAAAAGGAGGAAAAGGGATCGAAGGGAAAAAGAAAGAAAAGATGGAAAGGGATGAAAAAGAAGAAAAAAGAAAAGAAATATATGTATGGAAGAGAAAAAGAAAGGAAAGGAGAATAAGAAAAAGGGGAAAAGGATGAAAGAGAAGAAGTAAGAAAAGCAAGAAAAGGGATCTAATAGAAGAAGAAAGAAAAGTATATGGATGGAGGAGACGAAGAATGAAAAGGACGATATTGGATGGAAGGAAATAAGAAAGGAAAGGAAATGAGATCGAAAAAGAACGAAAAGAAATATATGGATAGAAGAGAAGAATGAAAAGGAGGAAAAGGGATCTAAAGGGAAGAAAATAGAAAAGATGTAAATGGATGGAAAGAAGAAGGAAGAAAAGGAAGAAAAGGGATGGAAGAGAAGAAGAAGAAGAAGAAGAAGAAGAAGAAGAAGAAGAAGAAGAAGAAGAAGAAGAAAGGAAAGATTTGATGGAAGTGAAGAAGATAGAAATATTGAAATGAATATAAGAAAAGAAGCAAGAAAAGATGTGCATTGATAGTTTGTACTTCCCTGTCAGATAAATAAATAAACGGCCATCTTTTGCTTCAGAGTAGGAAATTTTCTGCTAAACGATATTTCCTGCTAAACGAAAAAACAAATCTCCGGACTTTTCCTGCTGAACGAAACAACAAACCTTCGGACTTTTCACTATTCTCTGCATTTTTTTCGCCCTCAGTTGTCTCGGTAAGCAGTACAGAATGATACAACATCCTCTTCACATGCCCGTTTCATCTCCCCGAAACCTTTTCTCTGTTTTCAGAAAATGACAAAGATATGATTTCAGAAGCGCGGGAACAGAGTTACACCAAAGATTTGTATTCTGTTGTTCATCCAATACAAGGTCGATGATCCACCCATTTTACAGGGTAACTAAATGATGCTATTTTATGAACTTCAGAGGATAAGAATAAGGCAAGATGATTATGTACATATGTAGGATAGATATCAATTGATAATGGACTTCTTCATATTGATGTATCTAGGGAAAAAAACCTCCAGACGTTCCATGAAATGGAACCTCTTCGAATGATGGGACTCGAATGGAACTTTGGATAGATAATAACTAGTAATGAAAAAAAAAGAACATTAAACATAACAGAACTTTCCCCGGGAACCGAAAATGTGTTTCTTATAAACAACAGATGACACTGATGGAATTAGAAAGGGGAGTAATGAATGAGACGGCCCGGTCTACAATAATTTTAGGCTCTGCGAGATTACAGATTACTCGCTGCCATCCAGTATCGGGCAAAAAATAATTAGCGCTAGATGCTGTAGTATTCAACAGAAACGGTACCAACGATAGAGAATAGATTGTTTTTGTTAAGCGGCATATCAACACCTCTATGGGTTATTTAATACTGAAATTTTTTTGTACACAATTTTATTATATTTTTTGTTGATAATAATGGTATAGCAAAACAAGTCTTACTAATTAAACCATAGCTGGGGGAAAATAGGTGGATTCGCACCTTTCCCAACAGTATTTGTTCGTAAGGGACCGAAGAAAAGAAAGAAAGGCAGAAAAAGGGATGGAAGAGAAGAAAAAAGAAAAGAAGTAAATTGATGGAAGAGAAGAAGAAAAAAGTTTTCCTGCTGAACGAAAAAAGAAAAAAAAAAACAAACCTCCAGACTTTTCCCTATTCTCTGCATGTTTTCGCCTTCAGTTGCCTTGGCAAGCAGTACAGAATGATACAACGCCCTCTTCACATACCCGTTTAATCTCACCGAAACCTTTTCTCTGTTTGCAGAAAATGACAAAGATATGATTTCGGAAGCGCGGGAACAGAGTTACACCAAGGATTTGTATTCTATTGTTCATCCAATACAATGTCGATGATTTTACAGGGTAACTGAATGATGCTATTTTATGGACTTAAGAGGATGGGGGGATAGGTGGATTCATACATTTGCATTAAAACCACTTCGAGTTGGAATGTTATCTTCTTTTTTTACTGTTTATTATATATATATATATATATATATATATATATATATATATATATATATATATATATATATATATATACATATATATATATTTGACCAAACGAACCCGACCGGAATTGGAACTCGGCAATCCGATTTCCAATTCCAAGTCATTATCCATTACACCACCCACACATGCGAGTTTACAGCACCTAGTATTCCCAAGCTGCACTCATCTAGATACTGATCAAGCTCGGTGTTGCTTAACTTCGGGGATCGTACGGGAAGCGAGGGAATGATAATATACGCACGACATGAATGCAGCAAAAAAACCGCTACAATTGAATTCTCCGCGGATAATTTCAGACGTGCAAAAGAAAGGCTTGAAATTTTAAAAAAATCGTATATATGCTTATTGAAAGGACATCTAAGAAGCGAAACTGAATCTTTATTGTTGTAATTACGAGCAAATATATATTTTAATGCAAATTACTCTATACTAGATTTTATGCAGATCTGTTTCTAACAAGGCTAGCGTTAACCAACCGACGTGGGCAAACTTTTACTGATATACTTAGTTTTTATAATCATATCATCCCAAGCAAGGCAACAAAGCCACTAAGACGCAAGAAGTTACAGAGGGCTAAAGAATATGAATAAAAGAAAATATTATAGAGAAGAGAGGGCAATATAAAGACTAGAATTAAGAAGACATAAGATAACAGTTGATATTGCATTTAAAGATCAAAGTTGGCTGGAAATCAAGAAGCCGGAAGAGAGTTCCACAAGTGATAAGTCCAAGAGAAGAAATTGTTAGCTTAGAACACGGTTAGATCTATCCATTTCAACGGTAAAATGATGAGACCTCGCTGCCAATGTAGTACTGCGCTGAAATTCATAAAG